TTAAAAAATGTGTATGGATATTTTCTCTGCACGTATATCTGTGCACCACATATATGCCTAGTTCCCAAAGAGGCCAGGAGAGAGTGTCACCTTCCCTAGAACTGGAGTTACATACTATTGTGAGCCACTGCTTGGTGCTGGGAATCAAACCCAGGTCCTCTGAAGAACAGCCAGTAGTCTTAACCTTTGAGTCATCTCTTCAGCCCCCCTCCTCCCATTTGATAATTCTACAATGTGCTGTGGACACATCTATATGCACTGTTTAATGACCAAATCAGGATAATCCACACTATCACCATCTCAACTAAGTGTGTGTGTGTGTGTGTGTGTGTGTGTGTGTGTGTGTGTTGGGAATATTCAGACACCCCCTTCTATATATTCTGAACATCTGCAGTAACTTGTATTAACTTTAGTCACCTGCCATTCCGGAGAGCACTGGCACTTCTCCCTACCTGGATTCTGATGTTCCTATGTGTTTTCTGAGTCCAGACCAATGGGAGTACTGACTACAGGACTCTAAAAATAGTTATAGAGCTGAACATGCTGTAATCCCAACACTCTGAAAATGGAGACAGGAGGATCAAAAGCTCAAGTCATTCTTAACTCCATAGCAAATCCAAGGCCAGTATATATGAGACCCTGTGTCAAAAATAAAGGAAAATGAAACAAAATAAAAATAAAAGTCAATGATAGAATCCAGTAGGGCACAGAACCAAGAATGTGGCTGTGCCCTGATCTGGCAGTGCTAGCTGATGGGGTGTGCAAGACAGAAGTCACATTTGTAGGTAGACAGCTGAATGTCGGTGGAGAATAGAAAGCAGTGTAGTGTGACTCCCTCACCCAGATTCTCTGAGAGCCAATGTTTTTGCCACTTGATGAAGATGAGGACATGAAGCATCTTTCAGAGACAGGACGGGGGGCTAGAATTCTTCCAGAAGAGTTGTCACTGCAGAGAACAATGTCACTGGCTTAGTAGAGCAGCTGATGATGCACATCACAGTGTCCAGCAGGTGTCCCTTGGTTCAGATCGTGGACAGACCTACACAACCTCAGGTCTGGGTTAGAAACCCTTGAGAGATTTCGGAAGTCGGCAGCCTGGCAGCCCACACATCTTCCCCATCCCTTTTTCAAACTCCTCCTCCTCCTCCTCCTCCTCTTCCTCCTCCTCCTCCTCCTCCTTCTCCTCCTCCTCCTTCCAAAATGTCTCCTGGACCTTGGTGAGCATGATGAGTGTGTCCCATTTGTGACTGGATGTTCAAGAGTCATTTATTTTTAGTACTCTGACAATCCTGAGTTTCTGTAGTCACCAGTGACCACTACAAAAAGAAAGTTCTCTAACGGAAACTGATAACAGTAGCATTCTATGGGTATAAACAGTTGTTTAGAAGGTATTTTGATAGGCACATCATGTCTATTTAGCAAACTACCCAAAGTAATGTCCCCACTAGGGCCTTTGGCCACCTCAGACATGTACTTTTTAACTGGGTCTACAGAGCCATATGTGAATTCTTTCCAGTGGAGTAGGCATCAGATCAAATCAGGAATTAGTTGGTTTCTTCCATGACGGACTCACCACTATTGAATCAGTGGGCTTACCTTGCCTGGCTGGTCAGTATTCTAGTTCAAGTCCAGCTTGATTTCTCTATGTCCTCAGTGTATGTGGTGTCTTACCATCTAGTTCCCATGAGCAAGCAATAGCTATTTCCTATATTGTTGGGGGGAGGGCCTCAGGAGTCTCTGTGACCAATACTTTAAAGGGGGTGGCCTATCCCAGCACTAGAATTTTCACGTAATACCCTAACCTCTGTCTTCAGGGAGCACTTTATTCACTCTTCTCTTGCATATACTTGTGTTGTGAGTGCATGCATGTGTGTGTGTTCAGACACATCAGGACCTAAGCCTGTGTTCAGGAATGCATGTACGTATGTGTGTGGATGTGGAAGCCAGAGGTTGACATGAGTGTCCTCCTCAACCATTCTCCCCCATACGTAGAGGCAGCGTCTCTCTCTTAGACATACACTCACAGATTCACCCCCACTTGCTCCAGGGAACCTCTGCATCTGCCTCTCAAGAGCTGAATTAATAGGTGGACCTCAAACTTGCTTTGCAATCAAGTCAAGAGTGACTTTGAACTCCTGATCCTGCCTCCATCTCCCGAGTGCTGGGATTACATCCATATGCCACTGGATCTATCATCTTGCTGTTTATTTTTTTTAACCTGAATAATATATATCTCTTAGAGAAATATATTTTCTTAGAGAAACACTTTGTTACATAAGAGTGATTTGAAATATATAATAGACTAAATTATGAAATTTATGTTGAAAAATATTTTTTTTTTTTTTGGTTTTTCGAGACAGGGTTTCTCTGTGTAGCCCTGGCTGTCCTGGAACTCACTCTGTAGACCAGGCTGGCCTCGAACTCAGAAATCCACCTGCCTCTGCCTCCCAAGTGCTGGGATTAAAGGTGTGCGCCACCACCGCCCGGCTGAAAAATATTTTAAAAGGCATCGTAACTACTGAAGGTGTGTAGCTCATGGGTACAGTGAAGTCCTGGGTTCAGTCACAGCAGTACACATACAAACATACACATGAGCAAGATCTTTACAATGATACTACATAATACCAGTTTTTATCAAAACACATATTACTATATATGTTAGTGGGTACATATATCAGTTGCAGCAGTATTATTACAGACATCTAAAAAAGAAAAAAGACTACCCTGAATTGTATTTTTAACTCCAGGGAAAAGGAGAAATAGTTTTAGTGTTTTGAAGGAATAATATTATGGAGATAGTTTTGATTACTTTTAAGATCTAAAAATTATATTTAAGACACTTCAAAATATGAATAAAACTGGACGTGATGACTGTCAGCTACGCCAGCATAGCTGACTGAGTTCCTTGGATTGGCGGAGGACTGAGGGCGAGAGAAAGAAAGACAAGGAGTCATCTGGTAAAGAACCAAATGCTATATTTTCAACTGTGTAGATCCCTTTTATACTCCCCACAAAACAGGAACACAAACAAGAACAGGAATAAAAACAGGAACAAGGATCAAAACAGGAACAGGGAGACACATTCAGCAGCCTACCACCTAAGTTTGGATTTCTCCTTGAGCAGTCTTCTCAGGGAAATGCATAGAGACGGTGGATTGGGCACAACAGCACAGGTGCAGAGGATGGTGAGTCACAATTCAAACCTTTTTCTTTTAATTAGAGACCGAGCGGAGACAGAGACCAGACCCTCAGTGAAAATTTGGGATATTGTAATGACCCCCAGACCCCTGCCGTTGTACAGTGAGGTGGTATGGTCATACCCATCCCGGTGTCTTTTTCCTGAGGAGGGGAACTGTATCAATACCAACCCCTATGCATCCAGGCATGTCTCTCAGGGGAACTCCCTTGCAGTCCCAGCTGCAGCTCGGGCCTAGGTTGTAACACGGTCAGCCACACTTGGGCAGAGGGATCCCCTTGACCATGTAAAAGCACCAATCCTCGCACAATAGCTTGAGATGGTACCTGTTGTGCCCAAGGCGGCACAGACACACAAAAACAAGCATCAGCAAAATTAGGCTAAAAACTGCTAAGGAAGTAACTCCAGCCCACTCTTTCACCAGCATTCCCACTTGAAGAAACATGCTCAAGATAGATGACCTATCAATAGGGTCAACTCTGGTATCATTAACTAATACAATCTTATTAAAGAACTGCCGAGTAAGATAATAATAAGTAGTATTCCAAGAGCCAGAAATCAACTGATTCAAATACTTAACAGAAGAGGAAGCATTAATTACATGCACGGGTGTAAACATATGGCATGAAAGAAGGGATCATAGCTAACATGTCTGGTGGATAACATAAAATCTACTTGTTCTTGAACCAAAGCAATTTGTTGATTTGAATCTAAAACAGCAATATGAAAATGAGACTAAATATCACTCTGAGAAAGCAATGCATCTGCACCCTCCTGGAAAGTTCAGGGAATACAGTACATTCTCTGGGTGCTGTTGTGGATGAAGCCTCAGGGACACTCCTGTATGCACTCGCCATCATGGATGACGAAGCCATCTGAGTCACTGGTTTTGGCATTGGGGATATTGGCGCAGAAATCTTGGTCCACACAGCACTCCTGAACCTGTACGCACCAGGAGGGCAGGCAGGCATGCACATGCCTCTGCAGTAGTAGTGTCGACAGGCCACACAGACTGTGCTGTCGTCAGGTGTATGGCAGCTGCCCAGGCACTCCGGGTGGCAACGCACGCTGTTCTCGGTGCAGGCTCACCTCCTGCACATACCTGGGCACATTCTCTGGCAACAATCTGCGGTCCAGCGGCAGCAGCTGCACTCATTGTTGATGGTGGTCCTCTCACACATGGGCCTCCCCTCCAATGTCCCTCGAGCATCCAAGATGAGAGACTAGTCCATGGTGGAGAGGCAACAGAGGTCAGCATTTCTCTAAATCCTGATGGCCCCCAGAGTATTTTTCCTCAGACTACAAAGCCCAATATCTCTGAGATATTGGAGCTGCAGAAGAGTTTCCAGCCACAGACGTCCATGAGGTTCAGGAAGAGGTCCCCCAGGCTCTCAAAGCCGGCCACTCAAAACAGCAGCAAGCACTCGGTGATGACTGTGAGCCTGGGGAAGCGGCAGCCTCAACTGTCCCTGGCCTTGGAGATGAGCAGGAAGTGGAGGAAGCCCCCGATCACTGAGCAGTACTCCAGGCGCCCCAGCTACGGACAGTCGTCATGGATGTCAATGCTGGGCCCACAGACCTCTCCACTCGTCAGCCAGAGCAAAAGCACAGTGGAGAGAAACAGGAGCCCACACAGTGAGGCCGGGGACCCTCCTCCAGAGCCAGACCCCACCCCTCTATCTGGGATGAAATTCTCCCCTCTCAAAAAAAAAAAAAAAGAAAAGAAAAAAAGAAAAAAGCGGAAAAAAGTCTCCAACTCAGTCCTCACTCTTGTCTAAAAACAAGAGCGCAGGCAACGATCCTTGAAAGCAATCCTCGAAAGCAGCAAGGAGGGTGGCATTTGCAACCCAGAGATGTAGAAGAGGGAGGAAAACTGTACAGAAAGAAATCGCCACAGGCGAAGACAAACGCCCCAAACTGATTTTTCTAAGGAATAAAGGGCCAAAGCTGCACGAAAATCACCTATTACCTTTACCCAGTCTTCCAGCTTAAAAGTGCCGCTCGCCACAAACCATGGAGAGAATTTTTGTAATTCTTTCATAAATTCTTCAATAATCCTAGCTGCAACTGCGGTTTCCCGCTGAGCCAGAAGAGTAGATAGTTGCTTAGCCAGCAACTCCTTACTATGTGCCAAATCCATGGCATTTACTTACCCTGAAAACTTACCTTCGGTTCATATCCAATACGTTTCCTGTCCTAATGCGCGTCCCAGAGATGGCCCGTCAGCAATCTTCCTCATCTTTCCGATCTCAGTGGGACCTCCACTTGTCAGCTATGCCAGCATAGCTGACTGAGTTCCTTGGATTGGCGGAGGACTGAGGGCGAGAGAAAGAAAGACAAGGAGTCATCTGGTAAAGAACCAAATGCTATATTTTCAACTGTGTAGATCCCTTTTATACTCCCCACAAAACAGGAACACAAACAAGAACAGGAATAAAAACAGGAACAAGGATCAAAACAGGAACAGGGAGACACATTCAGCAGCCTACCACCTAAGTTTGGATTTCTCCTTGAGCAGTCTTCTCAGGGAAATGCATAGAGACGGTGGATTGGGCACAACAGCACAGGTGCAGAGGATGGTGAGTCACAATTCAAACCTTTTTCTTTTAATTAGAGACCGAGCGGAGACAGAGACCAGACCCTCAGTGAAAATTTGGGATATTGTAATGACCCCCAGACCCCTGCCGTTGTACAGTGAGGTGGTATGGTCATACCCATCCCGGTGTCTTTTTCCTGAGGAGGGGAACTGTATCAATACCAACCCCTATGCAGCCAGGCATGTCTCTCAGGGAAAACTCCCTTGCAGTCCCAGCTGCAGCTCGGGCCTAGGTTGTAACACGGTCAGCCACACTTGGGCAGAGGGATCCCCTTGACCATGTAAAAGCACCAATCCTCGCACAATAGCTTGAGATGGTACCTGTTGTGCCCAAGGCGGCACAGACACCCAAAAACAAACATTACCAAAATTAGGCTAAAAACTGCTAAGGAAGTAACTCCAGCCCACTCTTTCACCAGCATTCCCACTTGAAGAAACATGCTCAAGATAGATGACCTATCAATAGGGTCAACTCTGGTATCATTAACTAATACAATCTTATTAAAGAACTGCCGAGTAAGATAATAATAAGTAGTATTCCAAGAGCCAGAAATCAACTGATTCAAATACTTAACAGAAGAGGAAGCATTAATTACATGCACGGGTGTAAACATATGGCATGAAAGAAGGGATCATAGCTAACATGTCTGGTGGATAACATAAAATCTACTTGTTCTTGAACCAAAGCAATTTGTTGATTTGAATCTAAAACAGCAATATGAAAATGAGACTAAATATCACTCTGAGAAAGCAATGCATCTGCACCCTCCTGGAAAGTTCAGGGAATACAGTACATTCTCTGGGTGCTGTTGTGGATGAAGCCTCAGGGACACTCCTGTATGCACTCGCCATCATGGATGACGAAGCCATCTGAGTCACTGGTTTTGGCATTGGGGATATTGGCGCAGAAATCTTGGTCCACACAGCACTCCTGAACCTGTACGCACCAGGAGGGCAGGCAGGCATGCACATGCCTCTGCAGTAGTAGTGTCGACAGGCCACACAGACTGTGCTGTCGTCAGGTGTATGGCAGCTGCCCAGGCACTCCGGGTGGCAACGCACGCTGTTCTCGGTGCAGGCTCACCTCCTGCACATACCTGGGCACATTCTCTGGCAACAATCTGCGGTCCAGCGGCAGCAGCTGCACTCATTGTTGATGGTGGTCCTCTCACACATGGGCCTCCCCTCCAATGTCCCTCGAGCATCCAAGATGAGAGACTAGTCCATGGTGGAGAGGCAACAGAGGTCAGCATTTCTCTAAATCCTGATGGCCCCCAGAGTATTTTTCCTCAGACTACAAAGCCCAATATCTCTGAGATATTGGAGCTGCAGAAGAGTTTCCAGCCACAGACGTCCATGAGGTTCAGGAAGAGGTCCCCCAGGCTCTCAAAGCCGGCCACTCAAAACAGCAGCAAGCACTCGGTGATGACTGTGAGCCTGGGGAAGCGGCAGCCTCAACTGTCCCTGGCCTTGGAGATGAGCAGGAAGTGGAGGAAGCCCCCGATCACTGAGCAGTACTCCAGGCGCCCCAGCTACGGACAGTCGTCATGGATGTCAATGCTGGGCCCACAGACCTCTCCACTCGTCAGCCAGAGCAAAAGCACAGTGGAGAGAAACAGGAGCCCACACAGTGAGGCCGGGGACCCTCCTCCAGAGCCAGACCCCACCCCTCTATCTGGGATGAAATTCTCCCCTCTCAAAAAAAAAAAAAAAGAAAAGAAAAAAAGAAAAAAGCGGAAAAAAGTCTCCAACTCAGTCCTCACTCTTGTCTAAAAACAAGAGCGCAGGCAACGATCCTTGAAAGCAATCCTCGAAAGCAGCAAGGAGGGTGGCATTTGCAACCCAGAGATGTAGAAGAGGGAGGAAAACTGTACAGAAAGAAATCTCCACAGGCGAAGACAAACGCCCCAAACTGATTTTTCTAAGGAATAAAGGGCCAAAGCTGCACGAAAATCACCTATTACCTTTACCCAGTCTTCCAGCTTAAAAGTGCCGCTCGCCACAAACCATGGAGAGAATTTTTGTAATTCTTTCATAAATTCTTCAATAATCCTAGCTGCAACTGCGGTTTCCCGCTGAGCCAGAAGAGTAGATAGTTGCTTAGCCAGCAACTCCTTACTATGTGCCAAATCCATGGCATTTACTTACCCTGAAAACTTACCTTCGGTTCATATCCAATACGTTTCCTGTCCTAATGCGCGTCCCAGAGATGGCCCGTCAGCAATCTTCCTCATCTTTCCGATCTCAGTGGGACCTCCACTTGTCAGCTATGCCAGCATAGCTGACTGAGTTCCTTGGATCCGCGGAGGACTGAGGGCGAGAGAAAGAAAGACAAGGAGTCATCTGGTAAAGAACCAAATGCTATATTTTCAACTGCATAGCTCCCTTTTATACTCCCCACAAAACAGGAACACAAACAGGAACAGGAATAAAAACAGGAACAAGGATCAAAACAGGAACAAGGAGACATATTCAGCAGCCTACCACCCAAGCTTGGATTTCTCCTTGAGAAGTCTTCTCAGGGAAATGCATAGAGACGGGGGATTGGGCACAACAGCACAGGTGCAGAGGATGGTGACTCACAACGACAAATGCTTGTAATACCAGCACTCAGAAGATGAAAGCAAGAAGACTAGAAGTTCAGGATCATCCTTAGCTACAGAGTGAGTTAGAGGCTAACCTAAGCAACATAAGTCCTGTCTCAAAGAAGGAAAAATACCATATCAATTGCAATATTGCTGGACTTGATGTGTGCTCACAAATGGGACGAATATCTCAGATATTGCTCATGTGCTGGAATCCCTGATGCCTTGTCCCTTTCTCTTTAACATGTTATGCTTTTTTTGTTTGTTTGTTTCTTTGTTTTGTTTTTCCAGACAGGGTTTCTCTGTGTAGCCCTGGCTGTACTAGAACTCACTCTGTAGACCAGGCCAGCCTTGAACTCTCGAACTCAGAAATCCGCCTGCCTCTGCCTCCCAAGAGCTGGGATTAAAGGCGTGCGCCACCACCGCCCGGCATGCTATACTTTCTTTTGTGAAGTAGTACTTTCAAAAGTCAGTGGAAACCATTACTGAAAATCCTTAGTCCATCAAAGACAATAAATGCAATTACTTGAATGTCCACTTGGGGGCAACAGAGGACAGCTGTCACTGTGATTCTGAGAATGGAGTTCCATTGCTTTGCCTTTGGGTTTTTGTCTTGTTTGCAGTGTTTTGAACTCTGTTTCCCCTGCATGCTAGGTTAGGGTATCGCTGGTTAACAATCAAACTGTTGTTGGGAGTAAAGGCTTAGGTTGCTATCAGACACAAAATCTTACTCCAGAAGTCCTCCATAGTGAGGCTCTACTTGCTTGGCCTCAGGTCTACTTGAATCTAGACAAAAAAAAAAAAAAATCCCCTTACTGTCTCTGTGGCACAACATTGGTTAGGGCATTCAGCAAAGTTGATGGTTCAAGCTCACCCAGGGACAACAACCTCAACTTTTAAACAATTTTCCAGTCACTGGTGGCTTTTCAGGAAAATTCACATTCCCTTAGATTACCTGCTGTTCCTATATCCTACTCAGAAATTCCCAAAACCTGACCTTGCCTGTCACAGGTTGTTTATGGCCTGGCCTCATACAAGGAGATAGTCAATTTGGGGGGGATGGGGAGACCAGGGCTAGGGGAGTGAACAAATGGCTTAGCGTTTAAGAACTCTACATGATCTTCCAGAAGACCCTGGTTCAATGGCGGGCCACTCACTGTCTGTAATTCCATTCAGTTCCAGGGAATCTGACGCCCTCTTCTGGCTTCTGCAGGCTCCAGGCATATGCCCAGACATCCAAGCATAGAAACACCTATCCACATTGTGGTAGTTTGAATGCTTGGCCCAGGGAGTGGCACTATTTGGAGGTGTGGCCTTGTTGGAGTAGGTGTGGCCTTGTTGGAGGAAGTGTGTCACTGTGCATGTAGGCTTTAAGACCCTAGAAGCCAGTCTTCTCCTAGCAGCCTTCAGATGAAGATGTAGAACTCTCAGCTCCTCCTCCATGCCTGCCTGGATGCTCACATGCCCCTGCCTTGATGATAATGGACTGAACCTCTGAACCTGTAAGCCAGCCCCCATTAAATGTTGTCCTTATAATAGTTGCTTTAATCTTGTTATCTGTTCACAGCAGTAAAACCATAAGACACAAATAAATATTTTTTTTAAAAAAATAAAAGTAAAATGTATTCTTGAGTTAACTTATGCACCTGTTAGGCCATGCCCAGGACCTTGAAAACATGGATCACATCCTTGTGCAGAGCCTTTAGCGAGTCATGGCTCTAAGTGGCACATTACAGGACCAAGGAGATGGAAAAGAAAAAGAAAAGAAAGGAAAGGAAAACCGTCCTCTTCCCAGGGAGCATACAGCAGAGAAGAGACTTGAAAGCATGTGTGCTCATAAACCCAAGCCCAGGAGGGATGAGGTTCAGTAATTCAGAGATAGGAAGCACCAACTCCTGGTAGGGCTCCATCTAGAGGCTGACATTTGACTCAGGAACTGAGGCTTCATATAACAAGATCAAGATCCCAAGAGGAGAAACAGAAAGAAAATAAAAAGCAGTGAATGTGTTTTTTTTTTCCTTTGTGTTTTAGTTTGGATTTTTTGCTGTTATTGTTTTTGTATTTATTTGTTTGAGATGGTCTCATGTAGCACAAACTGGCCTTGAACTCGGCTTATAAATAAGAATAACACTGC